GCCATGACCTCTTCCGGCTAACATTGGGAAGGTTAGCACTTTGTTCGTCATAAACAAATGGCGCCTACTGTGGGGCCCGGTAAAACTCTCTCGGGCCACACTATCACTCCAATCAAAAATCAATTTCACCACCTAAGAAGTTCATCCAAAAATCTAAAATGAAATTCGAACCGAGGAACATTGACACTTATATGAAGTGTCTAACCATAACCACCTCACAGGTTTACTCTAGTCGGTCGAATGGCCGCCGAAAAATGCTCTTGATCTCGAGGGAGGCTACTGATTCTGCAAATATGGATTACAAATAAAGAAGATGGATCTGTTGAGATAAATATTGAGATTAGGATCACAATGATGAAACGATGTTGACACAATTCTTGAAAAGATAAGTAACTCATTGATTTTATTTGGCGGGCACAATTGAATTTCGTTTGATTACCTTTTAAAATTATAATACCATGTGTTGCTGGACTTGTAATTCGATTGTTGTGGCTTACTTTCATATGCAGTGGTAACCTTATAATTAGATGAGATACACACACAGATACAACTGATCACACATACATCTAATATAAAAGTAGATTGTAAATAGAAAGATAATTTGTATCATTTTAACATAGAGTTTCGTGAATTATGTTTCAGGAATAAATAATACTCATCAAGGAATTAAGGCATTCAACATCTTGTTGATTACAAAATATAGTTAAAGTCGACGTTGGAAATATGGAAAACACTCTTGAGAAAATATACCCAGGGCACATTATGGGGAAAGATCTGACAGCACTAACCAAACAACCATATTCTAGATCAACAACTATGCGTCATTGGTGATGGTTCTTTAGATCTGTTTTTGAATATTTCTTGCAGGTAGTACTAGTAAGAGGGATCAAATCTATAACCAGATATAAAAACTAAGAATATTATATGGAGAAGATAATTGTTTACTAGCTAAAAAGTTGCTCAGATTCAATGATTCATATAACAATATGATTGAGTACGAGATAAAATACAATACGGTACAAATGCTCGGGTGGGAACCTACGCACCACTCGAAACAAAGATCTTGGAGCTAGAGGAGGCTTCTTGCAAATATTAATAAACACAAAAAAAAATTTAAAATGTTTTAACTAACATATGTTTTATAACTTGTATGTCGATTATAAAATCTTGAACGAGGACTCACATACTACTCGGACAATCTCATGTGGAGAAAAATAGCTACGTTCTTTATAATATTTACTTTGATATTTTACTTGTTTGTAGAATTATTAGATAAGAAAGGATAACAAGTCATCTGCAAATGGGCGAGAGATTCCACATTACATCATAAATGTCATGACATGAGCAAATTGATGTCATCTTGGAAGTATGGCTCTATCAAGCAAAAACTCCAACAAAGACCAAGAAATGGGACAAACACGAGTTTATATTTTCATTAATTTTATATTATTTAATAATGCGAGCTAATGTCTCTGTCGTTTGTAATTATTTTAAATAAACTCTTTAAAACTTGCTTTGTATACTGGGCGTTGCTCCTTTTCCCTGCGTGAGCAAGAAGAGCCCACTATTTTTTGAACTTATACATAGATATGCAAGAGAGGAAAGCTATATGAGAACCCACAATGAATCTTCGTGATTTAACCCAAGGCCTCTAATGGGGGCATGACGTCAACACCCATCAAAGGGCTCTGAACATACGTCACGAAATCATAGAGAGATCTCCGACCGCATCAATGGTCATCAAAGTGCTCTTAATGCTCGCCGCTAACTCAAAGAGAGCTCTTTGACCATGTCAACACCCATAAAAGTGCTCTGAACGTATGCCATGAACTCATAGAGAGATCTCCAGTCGCATCAATGCTCATCAAAGCGCTCTGAATGCCCGCTACAAACTCATAGAGAGCTCTCCGGACACGTCAACGCTCATCAAAGCGTTCTGAACGTAATCTATGAACTCGTAGAGAACTCTCTGTCTACATCAACACCCATTAAAGCGCTCTAAATGGCCGCCGCGAACTCATAGAGAGCTCTCTGGCCACGTCAACGCCCATCAAAATGCTCTGAACATACACCACAATCTCATAAACAGCTCTCCGGCCGCATTAGATCCCGACCACAAAGGAACTACCAAGTCGGCCAACAGAGCCCAGCCACACAAGAACTATCAAGTCGGCCAACAGGCCCCGACCACAAAGAGACTACCAAGTCGGCCAACATGGCCTAACCACGAAGAGACTACCAAGTCGACCAACATGGTCTGGCCATAGAGAGACTACCAAGTCAGCCAACAGGGCCCGACCACAAAGAAGCTACCAAGTCAGCCAACACGGCCCGACCCCAAAAGACTACCATGTCAACCAACGTGGCCCGACCACGAAGACACTACCTAGTCGACCAAGAGAGCCTAACCATAGAGAGACTACCAAGTCAACCAACATATCCCGACAACAAAGAAACAACCAAGTTAGCCAATGGGGCCCGACCACAAAGAGACTAACAAGTCAGCAAATAGAGCCCGACCACAAAGAAATTACCAAGTCGGCCAATAGGGCCCAACCACAGAGAGACTAACAAGTCAGCCAACAGGGCCCGACCATAGATATAATACCAAGTTGGCCAACAGATCACGAACATTAAGAAACTACCAAGTCGGCCAACAGGGCCCGACCACAAAGACACTACCAAATTGGCCAACAGGGCCCGACCACAAAGAAACTACCATGTTGGTCAACCCCAAGCGGGCTCTGAACCAATTTACGTCAATCCATAAGGGGCTCTTAGCGTCGGTCATGTCATAATTCCCCTGACCTTTTAAAACATACCAAATTAGACGAAAACTCTGGACCAAATCGGAAGTCTAAGCAATCAAACACTTCACCCTTACAAGCTTAATTCTTGGGGGGTTATGTATATCCTGGTGTCGCTACGCGAAAAAAACACATAATCACTATCGAACTTTATTTGTCCCAAAGGGAAGAGGAAACATCGAGAAAACCCCAAAAGGAAGAACAAGATGGTATTGCAACCAAGATACGGGTCCGGAAGTCGATTATGTAAGGGGAAGGTATTAACAAACCCTCATATCCGTTGTACTCAACAAGATCCACTTTGTTTGTTTGTTTCTAAGGGTGTTGTTTATCTAAAGTTTACTTGTTAAGGAATGAATGAATGGATTGATTAAGGGAAAAACAAAAGGTTTTTATTATTGAGCTCGCCAAGATTTCCCGAATTTTATGCCTATGTATCCCTATAGTGCAATAGAGAAGTCAGAGCTCCGTAGTTATAAAAAGACTTGTTTATTGGTTGTTTTTTAGTAGGCGATGTTCTGTTCGCGTTCCAGCAGTTAGACGATGTTTGTTTGCGGTAGAACGTAAATAACATGCCCTTTTATGAAAAGGTTTTAAAGAGAAAAGAAATCTGAAGGAAAAAGGGGGTGAATGTGTTAAAATATTTTGTGATGAGATACATCAAATGATCTATCAAGGATGGGGGTATTTGAGTATTACTCCTTTAATTTTGAAAGTATTTGAGATACGTATTATACTAAAGTCTATGACATGAGGGAGAATACTTTGTAAAAACGAGCCAGACGTCTCGCATACAAAATACTCTAAGATGAGGTAAGGAAGGCTCCCGCTCGTCTTTCCTCATGTACTTAAGGCTCATGGCGTATTATACATATCATATTTATTAAATATTTTGGTATTTGATTAAGAAAAAGAAGATTTTAGTTTTTTAAAAGAAAAGGGAAGCAAAAGAAAGGACTAAGAAAGAAGGGAAATTTTATCCTAATTGTTGTCATGCAAGTGTGGTCCTAAGATTGAGTTTTTGAGGGGAAAATCTAACCTAAGATGTTATCATGCATAGGTTGATACTAAAGTTCTAATTTAACATAAAACGATCTAAATGAAGTTTAATCGCTTAATGGAATCACTTAAGGGAGCATGTGAAGAATCAACCAAACAATCAATCAAAGTAAAAGAAATAAAATCCTAATCTTTTTTATGATTTTTATCATCTGAAAAAATTAATCAAAAGTCATGGAAAAAAGATAACAAAACAATTGATAAAAAAAACAAGATTAAAAAAAATAAATAGAAGATAATGAAACAAAAGGAAGGTGCAAGTAAGGATGTGGTGTAAGGTGAAGCAATGTTAGGCGCAAAGCCCAATCGAAATGGTCCAAGAGCTATTTATTGTGCTTCAGCATTTGGTGTGCCAAAAAGGTGTTACGGACCTGAAGGGGGAAGCAAAGCCCAATAGATTCGTTCAACATCCAATCCACAAACATCACCAATTCTATGTTCAATTTCAGCATATTATTTCCATTTTCTGATTAAAAATAATAATAATAAAAAAACAAGTAAAAATGAAAAACAGGTGTCCGGTGCTTCTTCCATTGCGACTCAAGTATGCATCTTATCCCTTCGATTCAACCTTATCTTTCTACCTTTTTTTTACGTTTCTTCCGCGTCTCTGTGTTGTGCTCTTGTTGATGTGTTGTTGTTGCAATGGGATGCGAGCAATATTATTGTAGCTGTAGCAGAGCATTGTTATGCATTGCTGTGGGTTGATATTGATGAAGATGCGTGGGGATGAAGACGAGAGGATGCAGAAGATCAATTGTAGAGAGAGTGCAGAGGTGCAGGTTTTGAGATTTTCAGAAATGGTGAAGAATGATGAGATTGAAGAAGAAGGTAGGTTTATACATGCAGTTGAGAGTTTGTTACGTCTTAAAGATTGTGAGCCCTTGGATCTGAGAATCAGTTAGAGATGGATGGTGAGATTGATTCAATTTTGTAATGAAATTTCATGTTATGAAGTTGTGATAAGCTGGTATTTTGTTTATGATTTTTCTCACGATTCTCTGTTTATTCCTTCTGCCTTTTCTGTCTTTGATATCCTGATTTAACAATCTTTTTTATTCTTCTGTATTTTGAACTGAGGCAAGCTTTGTTTTTGTGATGTGCAGTCTGCTCTGGGAATGAACTTGGCACGACTTATGTTGATGCGGAGCAAGTTTGATGGTAATACTTATTTTTTTGTTGTGCAAAGCATGACATGTGATTGGCAAGTTCGATCAGAGAACAAACATGCTTGGATTTGAACCCTTTTTCTTGGTACACAAAGGCATGGAAAGGATTTGACTCATGAAGCTTAAAGATTAGGAGCAAGGACAAAGGGATGTTTAGGACTAGAAGATAAATGTTAAATATTATGTTTAGGATGGATTTTGGTGTAACTTCTTTGTAATTTTCCTCAAATATATTTGTAATGAAGCTTGTATGATTTTCCATGAACATGTGTTGTACCCTTGAACCAAACTTGTATGCCTTTCATAGTTTCACAATAATTGAATCTAAATTGAACACTCATGCCATGCTTGCATCTTTGGTGAACCCCTATTACATGCTTGAATCTCAAATCCATAATGCCTTGTACTTGAAGCAAACTTGATATGCACATGACCTTGGCTCAATGTATCAAAAGATAAATGAATTCATTATCCCCTTATTGCGCAAATCATTGTTCATTTCTTGTACCTCAAACAATTGTATGAACACCTTGAATTGGTGAGAGATAGAATCAAAGTATGATGCCACATATCTTGTCCAAAGCTTTGTCTAAATTGATATGAACAAATATAATAGAAGCCTTTAGATGAAGATAGAACTTGAGGTATGGGAAGAAAAATGCTTAAGATATCTTTGAAATGAAATCCTAATCCGTATGGTCCTTAGTTGGAATTTCTTGATGAACCTTTAGCATAAAGATGATAACCCTACTACTTGATCTTGATGAATCCTGATGGAGGCACATCTTGCAATTTGATGAGGAAGAGATGGCCATGCACCAAACCCTAATTCCAATAATACATGCTCCAAGAAGAAACTAAGATGAACCAAACTCATTTGACGTGTAACTCTTTAAACCGTGATATATACATTGATCCAATGAACCCCCACGTTCCTTATTGAATGATGAATGCATGATATGCTAATGACTTAATTAAGTGTATGCAAATGAAATAAGAAACATACGCCAAATAAAATTAAAATAAGGAGGGAAAATTTTGGAGTATAACAACTGCCCATATTTAATCATCTTGAACCTAAAGGCACAAATAACAACAACTTTAACAACTTTCAGACATTCGAGGTAGAAGAGGACTAAATACAAAAAGAACCAATCAAAAAAATTACACTCCTGAGAGGAAAGATGGTGTAGAAGAGTGATATATATATATATATATATATATATATATATATATATATATATATATATATATATATATATATATATATATATATATATATATATATATATATATATATATATATATATATATATATATATATATATATATATATATATATATATATATATATATATATATATATATACATTGATCCAATGAACCCCCACGTTCCTTATTGAATGATGAATGCATGATATGCTAATGACTTAATTAAGTGTATGCAAATGAAATAAGAAACATACGCCAAATAAAAGTAAAATAAGGAGGGAAAATTTTGGAGTATAATAACTAGGGGTGTGCATGGTTCTTAAACCAACCCAAATTGGTCCAAATATATGGTTTAGGTTTGGTTTTTATAACTATTTCATAAAATCAGTTTATTTTCACAAAACCAGTTTATATTTGGTTCGATTTGGTTTAAAACCAATTTTTCATTTAAACGGGTACAAAATTAGATTTTTTTCAAACCAATTTTCAATTTAGTATTTGAAACGCTTATTTATATATTGATTTGCTGGGAGTAAGTTTGATTTAATAATTTAAAAATCTAAGCCAATTATATTAAACAACAAATTGAAAAGTTAAACCAAACTCTCTTTCCTTCTAATTTATTTGACAGTATAGGTTATTATTAAAACAAAAAGATCAACAGTAAGAAAATAAAAATGAAAGATCATATATTTAAAAAAGATACATAAAAAGAGAAAAAAAGTTAAAATTGGTTCAAGTGTCAATGAGTAAATCATGATTTTTCATACAGAAACTATTCTTTTAATTTTTTATCATATTCAACTATCTAGACTCTTTTTTTATTTCTAGGCTTATCTACATTTTTTGAAACTCTTGAGAACATGTATAGATATATTCCATTGCCTTGAGACCTCTTGGAAGAAAAGTTTTACCGAAAAACTTACCTTTCCATTTTCGTCCTCTAGGTATTTCCCAGCACCTGAGCTATGAAAAAATCTTTGTGTATTTTTCGACACCGAAGGCATGGAAAGATGACGAAAACCTCACTAGATTGTGGCTTTAAGAGGAGACCGTATCAGAATGAAATCAAGACAATTGGAGAACAGGTTGGAGGAATTAGTGGAAACACGAGAATCTGATGTAGTGAATGATGTAGATCTTGAAAAAAATGAATCGAAGAAATATAATAAGAGAAGAAGGGAAATTTTCAGATGATGAAGGAAGTGACAGCTATCGATTAATACATTAGGTTTACAACTTTGTTTTTAAAATGGGTACCGGATCTGAAATTGGTTTTTTAAAGTGGGTACCAAATTTTTTGGATTTTACTAAAACGGATTTGGGACAGTTTTGATGTCAAATAATCTGGATTTTTAAAATTAGTGCACCTATTTTTTTAAAATGGTTCAGTCGAACTGGTTTATTTGCACACCCTTAATAACAACTGCCCCTATTTAATCATCTTGAACCTAAAGGCACAAATAACAACAACTTTAACAACTTTCAGACATTCGAGATTGAAGAGGACTAAATACAAAAAGAACCAACCAAAAAATTACACTCCAGAGAGGAAAGATGGTGTAGAAGAGTGATATATATATATATATATATATATATATATATATATATATATATATATATATATATATATATATATATATATATATATATATATATATATATATATATATTGTGTTTCGCCTCCACAAACAAGTTTTGGCGTTTATTGGTGATATTCCAGCAGGATTCCCACAAAGGTAAGATATATTTTGTGTTGCATATTTGCAAAAGGCAAAGGAAAGATGTAATGAATGCTTAACCAAACGTTCTTGTAAAAGGTTAATATGGACTTCATAGGGGAATAATACTTCTTGTGCACAAGGCAGTTGAAGCTACCGGCAAAAAACACAAAGCCGCCACTGAACTTTATTTATCCCGAAGGAAGGGGAAATATCGAGAAAACCACAAGAGGATGGATAAGATGGTCTTGCAACCAAAAGAGAGGGTACGAAAGTCAATTATGCAAGGAGAAGGTATTAGCACCCCTCACACCCGTTGTACTCAACGATATCCATTTTGATTGTTTTCTTCTAATGGTGTGTCTATATATAACTATACTTGCTAAGGAGAATGAAATGGTTTTTTTTAGTGCGCTCATGAGGGTCTCGCAACCCTTTTCCTATGTATCCCATGAAGGAATCAGAACACTGTAGTTCTTCTAGAAAATGTTGGTTTGTTATTGTTTTTTAGTGGGCAATGTTAACACACGCATCCTAGCAATAGGCACGTCCGGTATCGCGGTAGAACATAGATAACATGCCCTTTTGAAGGAATCTTTAATTTGTTGAGTGTTTTTGTTCAGTGTGAATGAGTTTGAGTAATGAGTAAGTGTGTTTGGATTTTTTGATTAAGGAGAGAAAGTTTTGTTTTAATTTACAAAAGAAGAAAGAGTCTAAGGGGGAGACTAAAAAACCTATTTGTTGCCATACAAAGATGGACCTAATGTTGAGTGTAAAAGAGAAATTCTATCCTAAAGTTATCATACATAGTTTGATCCTAATTTCTAACTCAACATGAAACTATCAACATGAATTTAATTGATTCGGGGAATCACTTAAGGGAACATGTAATCAAGATTAACCAAGTAATCAAACAAAAACAAATAAATTAAGTTCTTAACATTTTTTTATGATTTTTATAATAAAAGAAAATGATACTATAATATTTTTATGATATTTTTCTGAATAAATATTAAAATCTAATTCTAAATTATTATGAATTGCGAAATGGAGCAATTCTAAAAAAGGGAAATCAAAATTTTAATATTACTCTATGCTAATATATTTTTATTTTTTTAGTAAAGAAATAATCAAAAGAAAATTAAACTTTTAATCTAATATTTTTGGTGTTTTTTATTATATAAAGAAAATTAAAACCTAATTCTATTTTTTGTGATTTTTGTATAAAATTTAAAATGAAATAAGAAAAAAAAACTCGAAACCTATAATTTTAAAGAAAAAGAGGTAAAGCTAGGGATTGAACTCATCTCGCCTAAGTTATAACTCTCTTGCCTTGCCACTGAACCAAGTTATTTTCTATTATATTTACAGTTTAATTTAAAATAAAATAAAGTTTGGGTTAAAACTGATAAAAAGCTGAATAATGATAAAAGTGTCTCAATGAGTCTCGAACCCAGGCCTTACACATATCAGACATGCACTCCAGCCACTACGCCAAACTGATTCATTCGTTAATAACCATTCCGATTAATGAAGTAACAAAAATAATCAATGGGCTTAAATGGAGACAAACATGTAGAAAAGTGATAAAATGTCCCCAATGGGTCTCGAACCCAGTACCCCACTGTGATACGGTGGCAGAACCGGACTGTTTTAGGAAAATGCTGGTTTGCGTTTTGCGTTTGTATTTGCAAAATGTCGCGGTAAGCAAGAGTCGCCACCGACTTTTATTTTATCCAACTGGAAAGGGAAAAAGCACAGAAAAATTCCTTTTTCGAGATTTTGAGTACGGGAGGTAGATTATAGAAAGGGAAGGTATTAGCACCCTTTCTATCCGTAGTTTTCTACGAGCTCTTAGGTACTTGCTCATCATTTTAAAAATTGCTTCCGTGTTTGTGTGTTTTGAAAAGTTTTTGTCTTACTTCGTTTTAACCCTTGTATCAGTCCTCAAGAGTGTTACGAAGTGTTTTTGAAAACTTTGTTTGAAAAGAGTGTAAGTGTGGAAAAGTTTGTTTTTGAGCAAGTACCTACTAGAATCTACCTACTCGAAAAAAGAATGTTTTTGTTCTTGTTTCCTTTAGATAACGCTATCCCACTATTAGTGAGTAGGTAGCACCATCGTTGGAGTTGTAAGGGTCAATTCGTAAGGGACGTACGATCACTAAAGCAATGTTAGGACGTCTTAGTAATAACCCTAAGGTCTTAAGATCATATTCGAGGCAACATTTTCGAGGCAACCTTTCCGAGGCAACATTTCCGAAGCGACATTTCCGAACGGGACATTTGATCTTTGTTTATACAGAAGGGCGACCACTAAGACACCCTAAACTTAATG